ACTTATTTTTCACAGGTAGGAGGGCCGCACTTGGGCTCCCTCGCAGTGCGCTTTAGCCAGCCTGTCAGGCTTTCCCGTGCGCCGTGTGTCAGCACTGAGAAGCACTGAGCTACGCCAAGAGGGCAGGCCTGGCAAGGAGGAGCCGGTCCCTCGACAGGACCCCTGCCCTGGAGAAGCCCCCACCCCAGCCTTTAGGCTCCTCACTGCAAGGTGGGTGCTCTGACAAGTATTTGGGAATGGAGGTGCCAGGTCTGTGCCCCCTGCCACCTTGACACCCCCAGGAGCCCCCAGGCTCTGGTGAAACCGGGGCTGAGTGGAGGGCTTGTTACGGGTCTGTTACCAGCGTACTTGATTGTGAAGCGAGGTCTCTGAACTCCTGGGCCACTCGCTGCAGGACGTGGGCACGGCCCGAGCTTGCCTTCAGCGAGTGAAACACAAGACTCGGGAAGTCGGGTGGCAGGGATCTTGGTCAGGTGGCAGCATCTGAGTGAGGTCTTTCCATAACTGAGGTGTCCTGGGTGGCTCATGGGTGACCTGTTTCTGTCTGTAATGGGAACAGATGAGACACCTACCATCCCACCCAGAGAAGAAAGCCATTGTCAAGTCATTTTAGTATTAAATCCAAGGCTAGGAGCCCATCGCAGTACATAGTATATGGAACTTTCTTCTGATAGCTAAGGTGTGATCTAACCCAATTCGACCTAAAATTTCTTACCTTTAAATGTATTATAGCCCAAATAAGAAGTAGATTGAGAAACAAGTCCGTGGAGAGCTGTGTGCGTGTTTACACCGTGTCGTGTGATTGTAGTGTTGATCCCGGCTGTGGGTAATAGATTGCTCTTCTTCCAAAGATACAAACTTCTTTTTTTAAATCTTCACCTGAGGATATTTTTTTCCATTGATTTTTAGAGAGACAGTTGCAGGGAGGAGGAAAGGATCAGAGAGAGAGGGAGAGAGACATCAATGTTAGAGAGACACATCGATTGGTTGCTTCCTGCAAGTGCTGCGACCAGGGCTGGGGATCAAACCTGCAACCCAAGTCCGTGCTCTTGACCAGGAATCGAACCTGTCCCCTTCGGTGCACCGGCGGGTGCTCTAACCACGGAACACACCAGCCAGGGCCAAAGATACAAACTCTTGACTACCACCAGGTGCCAGCCCACATATGTATATGCCCTGGGATCCTTTGGATTTCTTTATGGATTGAAGCCATGGAAGCAAACCAGAAGCTGTGGTTTATCTGACATTAGACCACAGTGACTTTGTCCATTAGCAGGCAGAGCCCCTGGTCACCTCGCCGGCGGTCCACGGGCAGGCGGTCACAGGGCCTAGCGATGGGCACAGGCTCACAGCTGCTGCTCGGCTGCTCAGCAGCACCAGTGCGTTTGGCAGAGCCTCTTTATTGTTTTGTGTGTTTTTTTCTCTTTTTAAATATGTTTTTTGTTGATTTCAGAGAGGGGAAGGGAGAGGGAGAGAGAGAAACATCAATGATGAGAGAGAATCACTGACCCGCTGACCCCTGCACACCCCACACTGGGGATTGAGCCTGCAAACCGGGCATGTGCCCTGACTGGGAGTCAAACCGTGACATCCTGGTTCATAGGTCGATCCTTATAGGTCAGCTGGGCTCTTTACGGTTTTTAAAGATCGCCTTCTAAAGCATTTCCGTCCCTCTGTGTCTTAAACACAGGGTAATGGCAGCTCAGGCTCCGTCACCAGTCGATTGAGCTCTGTGCCACGTGTGCTACATCAGTGCGTGGTGTGTGCTCAGCGTCCTTCCAGCTTTGCCCATGTGCCCCACACCCCTTCCTCTGCTCAGGACATCGAGGCTGAAGCGAGGGCAGGCCTGTGGCGACGCTCTCTCAGCTGTCCCGTTCTCTCCCCTTTCTCCTCAGTTCCACGAGTTGTGGCGGTGTCCCCACAGATGCGCCTCGTGGAAGACAACCCCTCTTCTCTCTCCCTCGTGGAGATCTACAAGCAGCGCTGTGCCAAGAAGGGCATCGAGCACGACAACCCCATCTCGCGCTACTACGACAGGCTGGCCACGGTGCAGGCGCGTGGGACGCAAGCCAGCCACCAGGTACTAACTCAGGACAGCAGGCGTTCGAGCTGCCACCCGAGGCCTCAGAAACGGCTGCTTTCTGCTTCCAGGACAAGTGTGCTCAGAACAGTGTGTGCGCGCATGTGTGTGAGCATTGCGTGTGTGTGTGTGCGTGTGTGTGCGAGCATTGTGTGTGCGTGTGCGTGTGTGTGTGCGTGTGTGTGTGAGCATTGTGTGTGTGTGCGTGTGTGTGTTGGGGGGTGGGTGAGAGGTTCCGTTTTGGACCTGTGAGTTGGTAGAAATGAGAGGCCCACTGAGTGACATTTGCTGCAGATTGGTTGTTATAAGAGGAAAAAAGGTAAGTTTTCAACCTTAGAGAGGTTCTGAATTCTTTACCTGCACTTACAAAGCAACTCGGGAGTTAGAATTTTAAAAATAACTTACTGCAAACTCATGGCAGCCAAACCTCTTCTAAGCGATGTTCATGTTTATCAGGGTTGCTGCTGGGCCATTAGGTAATGTACCCTCTGTGCTCTATGTGCTTCCTAAAACACGGGAGGTGGCCAGCCCAGGAACACCTCATGCACCAGGCTTTATTTATGAGTAGACGGCTCCATCGTTGCTCAGAGCACCACAGGCGGATCCCTGGGGGGAAACGGACCAATCTGTGCATCCCCCGTGCAGTCAGAGGACATTGCATATGTTATTGACAAAATTAGCTCTATTGGTGCCACGCAAGAAGTTACAATTTGAGAGTTTTCCTTTTGAGGAAAAGAATAAGTGAGTTGGATGGGAGAGTCATGGGGTGGCATGTCATTTCAGGTCCTTCGAGACATCCTCAAGGAAGTGCAGAGCAACATGGTGCCACGCAGCATGCTGAAGGAGTGGGCTCTGCACACCTTCCCCAATGCCACGGACTACTGGACGTTCCGGAAGATGCTCACCATCCAGCTCGCACTGATCGGCTTCGCGGAGTTCGTCCTGCATTTAAACCGGCTCAACCCCGAGATGTTACAGATCGCCCAGGTAGTGTGGTGTGAGTAGCCAGACCCTCCTTTAGAGGTTGCATTCTGCTGTTTAAGTTCTAAAATGCCTCCTCCTCAAACTTAGGACACTGGCAAACTGAACGTCGCCTACTTCCGCTTTGATATCAACGACGCGACTGGAGACCTAGATGCCAACCGTCCTGTTCCTTTTCGCCTCACGCCCAATATTTCCGAATTTCTGACCACCATCGGCGTCTCTGGCCCCTTGACCGCCTCCATGATTGCTGTTGCCCGGTGCTTTGCTCAGCCAAACTTTAAGGTAGGTCCTGGGTTGTCTGCAAAAAGCACAGGCTGGGGTCATGCAGTACACTGTGACCCCACAGGAAGTGCCGATCTGCTCGTGAGGAGGAGCGCTGAGCTAGGAGGGCGTGCTGTTGCTGTACAGTGAACGCTCCTTCACTTGAAAAGGGCTTTCAAAAGAGGTGTGAGGATGGTGCGGAACCGGAGCCTTTGCTGGGTGACCTCCCCCAACTGTTAGCACTGCATGTCAGTTTGGTTTACTCCATTTTATAGCTGCCTTCTGTTTCTCGCTTTGCAAACCTTTTTTCTCTGAAAGAGCAGATGTGTGCTCTGGAAGGCCGTGGAGATGGGGCCTAAATGAATGCGGCACGTGAGCCCCATTGTAAACCCCCAGTGATGTGAGGTGTGGCACGGTGCCCGGGCCACGTGCGGGTGTGTGGCAGCTCTCCGCGTGACAGGGCGGCAGCACGTCTGCCACCCCGGGCACTGCCTCGGCTCCTGGCGCTGCACTGGCTGTCCTGGTGGATTCTCATCGTGTTCTCCCAGCAATTGTGCAGGTGGGGAAGCGGAGCCAGGGAAGGGGAGGACAGAACACAGTTTACTTTTTCTGTGTTTTTTTTTAACTTCTGAGACCAGCCATATCTTTTTTCCTTTTCTTCCTTTTTTTCCAGATAAGCAGTTTGTGCCTAGAGGAGGCTTCAGACTCTAATTGCTTTCCCAACACATTTACTCAGGACAGCTTTTAGCTATTGAATAAGCTCTTCATTGTGAACACGGACTTCACATATCCACACGTCTTTCTGAGGTGCCGTTGCACACACCCGACGTGTGGAAGGCGATTTTGGGATGTCGTGGTGAACTCTTATGAACATGAATAAATATAAATGGCCTTTCGGTTTCTTCTTGGTGAGGAGTTGGTGCTCTGATGCAGTGAATAGCAGTTCACTGTTACCATTTATGTTTTAGGGCTTGAGATGTGAAGTTCTCGGGAAGACAGAAAGGCTGTCCTCTGGAAACCAATGTAGGGAACTCCTGGGAATGGCATTCAGTTTGAAACCCAGAAAGGAAGAGTCCTTATTTACTTTTTAAATTTATTTTTCAATTACAAATGACACCATTGTGTGAGTTTCAGGTGTACAGCATAGCCGTTAGACATTTATATAACCCACGAAGCAATCACCCCATCAGTCTAGTACTCTCCTGGCAACAGACACAGTTACAGTATTATCGGCCGTACTCCTTATGCTGCACTGCACGTCCCTGTGACTATTTTGTAACTACCTGTCTGTACTACTTAATCCTCTCACCTTTTCCACCAGCCCCTCAACCCCCATTCCAGCTGGCCATCATCTGTTTGTCCTTTGTATCTGTTAGTTTCTGTTTTGTTTGCTTTTTAGATTCCACATATAAGAGAAATCCTGTGGTATTTGTCTTTCTCTGTCTGATGTATTTCACTTAGCATAATATATTCTAGGTCCATCATTGTTTTTGCAGATGGCAAGATTTCATTTTTTGTGGCTAATAATCTACTGTACACATCTACTGTGCACCACTACTTTCTTATCCACTTGTCTATCAGTGGCACTTGGGCTGCATCATATATCTGGCTTATTGTAAATAATGCTGCAGTGAACATCTATATATGCATATATACACACAATGGTGCATATATACTTTTGAATTAGTGTTTTGGATTTCTTCGGATAAATACCCAGAAATGGAATTGTTAGATCATATGGTAGCTCTATCTATTATGTTTGGAGGAAAATAGTAAGCTCCATACTATTTTCGACAGTGGCTGCACCAGTTTGCAATCCCACCAATAGAACACATCCTCGCCAGCACTTGTGCTTGCTGATTTATTGGCAACAAGGCGCTCCTTATTTTAAAGGCCTGTTACAGCTTGGAGTAACGCCACATGCTGCTCAGTGCATAGGCTGTGCTGGTGTAGATGGGAAGAAATTGGGCCTTCTCCAAACTCGGGGCCAAAATTTCTCCACAGCCTAAATGTAGTGAATGCTTTTACAGTGAGTAAAACAGACCATTCTGTATGGGAATCTCCTCTAAAACACAGGCTGTTAGCACCTAATACCGTGGGATAAAACCGTCAACATGTTCGTGTGAAGTTGCTTTGAACAGTCCTGGGCGCTCTGCATTCTTTGGACTGTGACAGTGGGTTATTGTTGGATATCTCAGTTCAGAAAGGTGTGCAGGCTTTGTAGTCAGTCCCTCTCTTGAATTGCCTTCTGTCTTTTCTTGGTGATCTCAGTACCGAAGTCCTGCCTCTGGTTTCCTGCCCCTTCTCCAACCCCTCGCCCCAGGCACTCGCTCTCCCTCCGGCCTTACGCACCCCAGACACCACCTCCGTTGAGGACCCAGTTCCAGTGGCTCCATGCCCTTAGCAGAGCTGCCACGTGGGCTCCTCCTTCCCGTGCCCTCTTTCTTCAGCCCTGACTCCCCGGGTGGCCACCAGGCTTGCTCGGACCACACTTGCCGATGGAAAGCCAGCGTTGGCAGAGCCCAGCCCGCTGCGGACTCCTCCGCTCCTGGGATGCAGGCCCGCTGGGTCCAGCTGCCTCTCAGTCGGAAGCTGCCCGCTGGTCATTCGTGCTTGAACGTGAGCGCCTCTTTCTCTCCTCGCACAGGTGGACGGCATCCTGAAAACTGTGCTTCGGGACGAGATCATCGCTTGGCACAAAAAGACACAGGAGGACACCTCTTCTCCTCTCTCGGCCGCCGGGCAGCCCGAGAACATGGACAGTCAGCAGCTGGTCTCCCTGGTGCAGAAAGCTGTCACCGCCATCATGACCCGCCTGCACAACCTCGCCCAGTTTGAAGGCGGGGAGAGCAAAGTGAACACCCTGGTGGCTGCCGCCAACAGCCTGGACAACCTGTGCCGCATGGACCCCGCCTGGCACCCCTGGCTGTGACATGGCCACTCCCACCTCGGAGGTGAAGGCTGCCGCTCAGGCTCCCGCACTGGCCTCCCCGCGCCTCCTCTGCCCTGTCCATGTGATGCTGGGTCCTCCAGGCTTCCGCGGTACAGTCGTGTCCCTGCTCGCAGTGTGAGAAAGAGGGTGAGTCAGGGTCGAGGGAGCTGAGCCATGGAGGTGAGGCCACTTGAAATGCTGGAGTTGAAACTCGAAGCTTTTAAAATAACCTTTCAGGAAACCAAGATTCCCTGGCCTGGAGTAGGTGAACGCATCGCCCCTCCGTCTGCGGGCGGACAGACTGAACTGTAGGAAACAGCTCGGAATGTCCTTTTTAACTTTCAGTAGTCACACCTGGCGGGAGCTCGTGCTCTGTACAGACCTTTGTAACAGCTGCACAGAAACCCGCCTGGGAAATTATGAACACACCCTGCTGGCTTCACCCCAGCACAAACTTCCATGCTGCGTGGCCAGCACTGGGAACCTCGCCGAGCCCCCGGGGGAGCCGGCAGGTGACTTCCGCTTTCTGTCGGCCAGCTCTTTGAATGTCTTCTAAGACACTTACTATCATTGTACCTGAAAAAAAAAATCACTTCTTCCTAATTTAAAAAGAAGCAGCAACAGAAGTTTGTTAGCTCGTCTGTGTTCACATTTTTATAAATATGAGTATTGAGAATGTTCTATCTAAATTTGTACAGTGTGATTTTTTTAGAATAAATATTTTATAAAAGGAGGTGTTGTCCCTTATGTGTTAAGATGCCTGTTTCTGTGAGGTGTTTCCTGTGCCTGGATGTGCCTCTGGCCCCTGGGGGCTGGCGCTCCCGGCCAGTGCGCCCTGCTCCACGTGTCCTTCCTGGGCAGGGTCTCGGCTTGGAGCCGGGTCTGAAGCAGGTGCTGCGCATGTTTGTGTTGGCCCTGAGGCATGCTGGTCCTGACCGGTGATGTGCCCAGGAATCTGGTCTCCTTCAGCATTGTTCCCATGCTTCAGGCTGCCGCAACCTGTGTGTGCAGCGGGGGAGATGGCTGCAGACAGCAGCGCCCTGTGCCGAGGCCTCCGCTGTGCCCCCTGCAGGGCTGTTTCCATGTTTGAAGCCTCTCCCTGCGCTCACCTCGACTAGCCCTTGTCCTTCACCCCGCGTGTCAGCACCTTGGGTGGGGAGTGGATGGAGCTGAGGAGTTGCTCCCTGGAGCATGCAGAGGGTGAGGCTGTAATGTCACAGGACGAGAAACATGCAGTAGGACAGAGGGCTGGTGGTTGCCACGTTAGGCCTAAAATTACGATTCTGGATTTAGGACTTGCCCCAGTAGGAAGTGCCACCTCTACGTGAGGACAGTGTCCACACAACGCGGGCCAGTCAGCCAGGCCTCCTTCAGGGCCAGGACTCGGCTGCCTCAGGCCATAGACTCTCCCCTGCGGTCCCCGTGCCCCAGGCCGGGTGGGGTGGAGCCTGCAGCTGTGTTCACTCCAATCTTACCACAGTCCCGTCCCAGGAGCATAATCCATGTACCTGGGATGCCAGCCCAGCCTCCGCGGCGGGTGCCCTTAGGGTCGTATGTCTCCAGTCCTCAGACATAGGGGGTCCAGCAGCCCCCAGGTGGCAGCCCCTGCTTTACAGAGGAGGTACTTCCAGCTCAGCGTGTGTAGCTCACCCACCGTCCCAGAGCAGTCACGGAGCTACCTGAACACGGGAGAGGTCAAGGGGCCAGGTGTCCGTTTGGACTCTTCCCTTTATTTGTGGAGCTAGTTGTAAACTATTTTACAGTTACTTGGAGGGTTGTCTTTGGGAGAAGGTGTCTTGGATTCAGAATGACAGGAGCTGGTCGGGTATCTAGAATGACAGGTGACTGCAGACTGGCAGCTAGTAGGTGCCGTGCGGGCGGCAGGCTGCGGGGAGAAGGTGCCTCCGTCCTCACTGTGCTGGGCTTTGTGAGCCTGGGGTCCGCGTGCCTTGTGCTCTGGGAGGAGTGCGCAGCGTGGTGGCTGCGGAGTGGCGTTTGGGTAAAGGGAGTCGAGTCCGTGCACTGGTGAGAAGGGCTCGCCCACACCTGCCCGGGCACACTGACTCTGGTTCCTAGGAAAAGCAACCTTGGAACAGCCAGGGGCGGGGGGGGCGGGGGAGGGGCGTCTTCTGAGCTTCATCTCTAAGTGGCAGGATCGAGGACCTGCAGTCGCATCTGAGCCAGTGACTCCAGGACCGTGAACCTCAGCTTCCTCACCTGAACATGGCGTCGCTGGGAGCTGGGCCCTCAGGGATGAGGAAGGTCAGGAAAATGGCTCATTGATGGGGGACCCCCACACACAGTATATGCCTGATTCTCCAAACACGATTTCAAGGTGTTAACTATTGTTATTAGACATTT